CATAAAGATAGATCATCAACTGAATCAAAACCCCTCTGAATGATTTACCTCCCAGGAGTTGCTGTGGCAATGTGTTCAGAAAGTCTGGGAGAGGGCACACTGCCAGGGGAAGACTCTGCTATCAGCAGAAGAGCAGCTGCAGGTTCTGGTCTAGCACCATTTTCACTCCATTCAGAGTAATAAAACCAAGTGGAGACACACAGAGAAAGATATTTTTTAATCCACATTAAATTTGTATGCTGAACAGGAGATACTGTGCATTAAAGTGTTCATAAATTGGAAAAAGTGAAGTATACAGAAAACAAATATGGGGATAAAATGAGGCTAAACACACCTAAGAAGTGTCATACTTAGGGAAGGTTGAGAAGTGTCCTGCTGCTTATAAATCCAGAAAGCCAAGTAGTATTTTATATTTGCAAAGATGGAACACATTTATTATTACATTATGTGATGGAAAACTTGTAGGAAATACTGGAATAGACACACATGCTAGCGGGATTCATTACCAAAGTTTTATAAACTTTTTGCTGTAACTTTTTTAGGGTGTTGGTTTTCTGAAGGTTAGACTACACATTTCTCGATAACTTTTTCATATCTTTTCTTTTTTTCCAGTTGTGGTAGAAAAAGAAACCAAACCAAAAAACAATCTAGAAAGTGTTGTATTAAAGCCCTCTACTTGAAGAAAAGCACCGATCAAGCTCTTCACTACACACATAAAAAAAGAGTACAAGGTAAAGAGCAATCACAACCACAATTTTTGACTAAATTAGCCACAGGAGTAGGCATTGCTGCCTCCTCTTCTTTATGTTAGGCATGCAAAATTAGATATCTTAATAAAGTAGGGAGCCTGAAGTGCTGAAAATTATTGAACAGATTTAGGAATAACCAGGGAGCAGACCTCATAGGTGGTAAAGCTGTGGATGGAAATTCTGGTACAGGTTGCACCTCCAAAGCCTGGGTAGCTATGAAGTTTTTATTCAGATTCATACAGGTATCCTGGCCTCCTGCTCCATTAGTTCGACCTGCAGGTATGCTTTAAAGATATTTATGACATGGGTAAGAAATAAATACATGACTCGTAACAAGTTGTTTCAGGACTGACCTAGAGTGGGCCAAATATTTCCTAGTGGCTATGCATTAAGTAAACAACAAATCAGAAAATCCAGACATATCTTCGCTCAGGACTATGAACTGCCTCTACAACTTAAAGGCCAAAACCAAACCTATAACTGGTTGCTCAAAAGGAGATGGTTAAAAGTGAACATCTAAAACATCCTTGGAAATATGATGCTGAAGAATTTGAAATAATTATTTACTAAACCATGTAAATAAACTTTATGTAAAGGTTAGCCTTCGCTTTTCTAGACATTTAGTAACTCAGTGAGAACTGCCTGTTTTTATTTCTTGTCCTTTCAGTTGCTGAAAAAAATCCATTTTATCCACATAGACATCCCTAGTGGGTAACAGTGGTTTCATAATAATGAAAAATCCACAGGGCACGTGTCTTGGATAATGCATGAAAAGTTGGAATATGATTAAACTGGAATATTTATCTGTAGCTTACTGATGGAAGAGAAGTTTCTATTCATTGTCTATCACATTCACCCTTCTATATGATCTCTTAAGTGTAAGCTTATTCATATATATAAAACGCACTCAGAATATTTTTTCAAAGATCAGATGCATGCTGGGAATCGGTCATGAGCTAGGGCATGTTATCCACATGCAACTGGAAAAGCAGTCCATTGTTCCAGAAACAGTAACTAAGTCGAAAATCTAATGTCAGCAAGTGTTGCGTGATGGGGATATTGGGCAGAGAGATGATCTCTTTAAAACAGTAAATAAATTCATTTTACACATTCCTAAAACACTTTTGGAACTAGTGATTTGTTACTATGAGTTTATAGGAAACTAAATTTTGGTAGCCTTTCTTGAACTATTCTCATATCCGCAACAGACTGCCTCTATAACTATCTATGTTTCCTTTTAATCTAAACAGAGGCTTCTATTTGGATTATTTAGAAAGGCTTTTTCTTCCATTTCTCACTAAAGCAACTCACCCTTCAAAGGGATAAAAGCTGTAAGACAGATAAACATAATGGTTAGTTAAATACCAACATCATGCTATTCTCATTACCTAGGGCCAGATCCAAAATATAAAATACTTGAAGGTCAAACTGCTCTGCCCTTAACACAAGAACTTTGAGTTTAAGTGATCTTTCATAGCTTTCATTTCATTGATGTTCTCTGAAACTCCTGTATTCCTTTCCGTTCATAAAAAATTATTTAAACCCAGCAAAACAATTATAATACACTATTTCACATTCCTACTTTAATATGCAGTATAATCACTTGATTATATTGTGGTGTATGTGCACTCAGTAACGCACTTGGGTTTAGTAACAGTGCTCACTCTTGAGTTACGTGATGGGAGTGGAAAATCAAACTGATTGGCACTTCTCATCAAACCAGTCTTTAGTGAAATTAAAGTGAGTATTTTTCCCCTACTATCCCTAAGGAGTTAACCTAAAAGGTCTGTAAGATGTGATATAAATTGGTCCATCAGTGTCAGTGCAACTCTAATTGTACTTTATGGTGTGCATTGTTAGGCATCCACACTGGTGATGGTTAGTGTTAGATAACTTGGCTATTACCTGAAGCCTCCGTTTTCTGTTTGACTCTTCCTAAAGATAAAATGACAAATACTGTAAGCTACTACTGTGCTGTATAGCCGTATAAACCATCTAAAAAGGAAACACAAATCCAAAATGCTTCCAAAGGTCTACACTCCTTTCAGTTTTCCAAGTTGTGCTACAAAAAAAAAAAATCCCAGACCCAGGCCAAATCTGCAGAAGTGTTTGCAGTGGACATTTGTCTGTTCACAGGACCAGTTCCATCAGACCAATGTGCAGGTCAGCTATAAAAACTACAAGCCAGTTGTAATGGTTCTCATTAAGAAATTACGAAAGACTGGGCTTTTATATGTGCTTTACAACTCACCTCTGAGGTTTGAAAATTCTGTGACCCAGTGTTACAAAAGCCGAGGGCAAGTTTTACTTAGTGTAAATTATAATTTTTACTCCTGTAGATCCCTAAAAGGTCAACCATATTATTGATTTCTGCAACTCCCGTGTCAATTTTGAGGACACAAACATACATATTTTCAACATGATCAGGAACTCTACTACTGTGATAGTTTTGTACACATCAGATTGAATCACAGAAACAGAGGGGATTTAATTGTTCCTCTTACTATAATCTGCAAAGGTGCAATGAAATTACAGCTCCATGCACGAGAAGACTATCCAAGGAGTCGGAGAGACTCAAAAGAAGAGAGAGACAGAGCTAAGATAAAAGCAACTTTTATTAAAATACTCTTCAAGCTTCAGAAAGCATAAATTAATGAATGTGTAGCTACTATAATACATTATTTTACAGGAGAACCATAGGGCCATGAAGCTTTTATAAACACAAGACAGACTACAAGCTTCACTCTGAAATAAATAAATACTAATGTCTTATCTCGTTCTTGTTAGAGGATGTGTTGAAGCTCTTACAGGTACGCAGCAACACAGTGATGAATTTTTTCCAAGTTTTCCAGAATATGAACATATTACTAGGTTAAGCAGCAGAATCTCTATATAAAGCTTTCACTTCAATTTGAAACATTGCAGTTTTTTCAGTTTATTTTTTATTTGCTTAAAAGCAGTCTCTTGTTGCTCTACTTCATAAAACATTTACAACCCCTCTAAAATTGACCTGCTGAAAATCTAGTGAAATCTAAGGTAGTTGTCCTGGTAAATTCAACATTTGAACATAAGTGCATACAGTCCCTCTTCATCATCTTCCCCCAGCCCCCAAAATCAAAGTAATACAATTTCTTAGTCTTGCATTCATAGTTTTCTGCTTTCTAACAACCTACAGTAACTCAAACTCAGCAATGCAAATGACTCCTTTAAGGAAAAAAAGAAAAGAACTGCAACAGCCATCTCCTCCCCCACACTGGGAGATTCAGTCACCCAAGTTGTTTTGTTTAAAATATGTATTTTGTCAACCAGCAATTAGCACAAAAACATTTTCATCTCATTTTTTACACATCAGTAGGAAAGTGTTAGAAAAGTATAGAAAAGGCTAGAATTTCTCTTGCAGTAAGGCTAGTGAAGTAAGTTTTCTATTGGTTTTGGGTTTGTTTGTTTGGGGTTTTTTGGTTTTTCTTTTTTTTCCAAGCAGATGGAAAAGAAAGGAAGGAAGTGTTTGTATTTTGCTTTTGCAACTTGGGTAAAATCACTGGACATTAAGAACACGTGCTGAGACTTCATGGTGCCAGTCACGTAATTTTGTATATTTGGGGCTAAAGACGTGGATGGGAACCTTTTCCCTGTGGAAAGAAGTGATAGAAGAAAAATAAGAATGAAAGAAAGAAAGTTTGTCTTAAGCAGTTTCACAAGCCAGCATGCAATTTCCATGCACTATATCTGCCCATTGCCTTCCTCTTTGTTAAAAGTTCGGATCCAGAGTTAGGAAAAGTCTATAGAAAAATTCCCACTGACTTCAAGAACCATTAGATTTAGCCACTGGTTGGTTTCCATTTTGAACACTTATCCCAAAGCAAGGAGACAGCTGACCCTCGTTTGCAGTCCAGAAGCGTAACACTTTCCAGCTATGCCTTGCAATCCGATGCATGCTCACAAATGAAAAAATCCTGATTAGATTTAGGAAAAGGAAGACACGTTGACAAGCTGACCTCCTACAGAAAACCTAATTAGTCCAGGTTTATGGAAAATCTCAAACTCCTGCATAAACATTAATACTGGGCTGCACCAACAAGACTTCAAAAGGTTGGTTTAGAAAAGATCTTGATTTTTACATGCTGAAGTAGAAGGCAAAAAAAGCAACATATAAAAAACCCCAGATGTCACACAAACACACCAAACACTATCCATTAAGAATTAAGACATGCAAAGTATTAAAGCAATAAAAAAAGTAAAACATCAACTCACTTAGTCTTCTTCGCAGCTTCATGTTCTGGTTCTTTCACTGTGAGAAAAGAGAAAATTTTCATTTTCCAAGGCACTAAAGGCCCTGTACCACCATACACCGAGATCTTCCCTGTGCCAATGCATTCATCACAGCAGGGAATCACAACAAGGCTCCGTTAGGACTCCTCAATTCTAAATATGCCCAACAGAAACAAAGTAGATCTGTAAACTCCAACAGCCCCTTTGCCAGCAGGATTGCTGGAAGGTGGCGCTGCTGGTCTCTGTCCTCTCCCTTGGCCCACTCTCCATATCACCATTAGCTGAGCTGCAAAGGAGAAGATGAATGGAAGTTGGGAGGCATTTCTTTTGGATGAACATCCAGTGGGTTTATATTACATGATAATCTGAACATTTGTTTGCAGCCAGTCTGTGACCCGTCAAGATGCTAGAGGACTGCACATGGGATGATATAAATTCCCAGCTCTGATTTTAAGTTTGACAAAGCTAGTTGCAGTCACTTTCTTACAGTATTTGTGAATATGATTCATTCATCAGTACTGGATGACACATTATTTGACATTCAGGTCTCATATTCTGCCCTTACAAGGACTAATGAAGAGAATCTGAAGATAAACAATGATTCATTAATGGGCTAGTACAACAGAGGACCGCAAAACAATCAAGTAACTGTCCAAGTTCAGAATATGGATCACACATGGACAATAATCCTTATTTGGGGAGAATGTTGTCATTGGCTTCTAGAGTAATTTTGCCAGATAATCGATAGTTCATTTAATGAAATTTGGGGAAGGGGTCCAATTTCCTCTCTTTATTGCAGCACTAGGTATGAATAGGAGAAGAATGAAATAATCATCCCTACATTAGCAACCTCAGTCTGAACATGACAGAGCTCAGATCTCCTGATGGCACTTCTGACAGCTTTTACTCAACATTACAAATCTCAGCCAATGAATTATAACTGACAGTAAAATATGAAATCGAATTTTTACCTTCAACTGAGGTGTGAAAACACCTTAATTTTTTTTGAGCATTAAATTTGAACAGGAATGTCACCATTTTGGTGATACAGGAGGTGAAAGAAATAAATACATATCTTGCCAATGTCTTGAAAACAGAAATAGAAATCTTCAGATCTTTCCAGAATGTATTAATATTCATCTCAATCAGGAATAATGTCCAGTAACATATATGTTCTAAGCTATTTAGCAATTGCAGTAGTTTTCCAAAAATATTCTCCTACTATAGTTTTCTCAAAATTTTCCTTTTAAAGAGCTTACCAAAATTCTGTCTACCGGATTTATTATCCAAAAGGGAAAATGCAAGAGATGTGACTGAATCCTTTTACTACTTCCACCTGCCCCCAGCTTTTAAAAACACCTATCTGCCCAAGGCCATTCCTTCTATTTTCTTTACATCCAATGACTCACTATGATCAGTGCCGGTGATTTGGGCAAGGATGCGGAAAGAGCGGGACTGGGTGGTGCCGGTCCGGGGATGCCAGTCTTCGGTGTCTTCAATCAGTCGCTTCTTGCTGGCATCGCTGTGGGTGGGTGTGTGGTAAAACTCTGTATAGGTATCCACGATGTGCTTCCGTGGGGGGCTGCATCAAGGAGAGAAGAGCGTACTGAGTGGAAAGCTTCAGAGGCCACCTAGGTTGGGGTAACTACGAAGACGGGCAGAATCATGACTTTTCTCAGCCTTTAAAGGCAGCTTCTGCATTTGGGTGCAGATGTGCAGCAGTGAGCCCTACAGGCACACCTGAAGACAGATTCAGTTCTCTGAACTGAATACAGCTTTATAATTACCCTAACCCAACTGAAATACTTTGCCTTATTTCACTGCTGAAACATTTGAATCAGTAAAGGACAGTATTATCAAGACATTTACATGTTTAAACTTTTACCGTTTGGGTGGGTTTTTCCTTGGAGATGACAGAGTAAGACAGCAAGATAAAGTTTTCCCAGCATAAACAGGAAAAGGAGAAAAAGAAAACAAGAAATAAAGTCAGAAAGGTGAAACAGAAGTAGAGCCAATTATTCTATTGAATTAATTTTGTGGGAAAGGGCACTGAAATCAAATTGTGATATTCCCATTCTACTGCCAAAAACACAGCACAGAACAGAAATTAAATTGGCAGCTATTTCCTTAAAGGGATGAGGTGAATTTGTTTTGGTAAAGCAGGGTAGTCTGCTTACTTTGGATCAGGTGCCCCTCGACAAGTTGTCCCCTTGGTTCACAAGGGACAAAGCACTAACTGTGTGCAAGAGCCACCCAGTACACACCATGCCTATTGCACCTGGCAAAGCCTGGGTCAGAACCAGATCGTTTGTTCTGGAGAAGGGTGTCCTTGCTCATGGCAGGGGGGTTGGAACAAGATGATCTTTAAGGTCCCTTCCAACCCAAAATATTTTGTGATTCTATGGAGCGTAACGTGAAGATACTGATGCTCAACACCCCCTTTGAAAATACAGAAAGTGGGGTGATAGTTTCATCTGGAAATTTTCCCCAGAGTAGCCTACACCCTATTATCAATCCCTGCACCAGCAGACTTGAAAGAACACAGGATTTGAAAGCTTGGCTTTCAGTAACTGATGTAAAGAACATGTAATGGCATTGATCAGTTTAGGAAAAGGGAATAGAAGATTCATACTATATGTATTACTCTTAAATCCTACATTTAAAACATACATACATTTAATACATCCCAAAGCATTAATCTTTAAGACGCTTTAAAGGTACATTTATTTTTAAACAATTTACAGGAAATTAAATGTGCAATATAAGCTCCTAACAACTCATAATAATTTTTAAAAACCCTCAAACTTTAAAAGTCACGTCTGCCACTACTTTCCCACTGTACTTTTAATGTCCAAAGTATTTCTGGTGAAGAAAGATGGAAAATATGAGTGTAAATTATTAATTATCAACAAGTAAGAATTAGGCCCACTCAGTGGAATGCATTAGTAGCTACTTAAGATTAAAATACTTAATACTTGCAAGAATGATATTAAAGGTGTACAAAATTATATCAAATGATGGAATTTATTGACACACAGTATTAGTGAAGTACGTGTATCTTGTCTCAAAGTTACTAAGAGGAAGAGGTATAGAAACAAAGTGTTATTTCCAGGATGGAGTACAAGAAGTACAGAGAAAAACAAAGCATCAAAACAGTTAATAGCAGAAATAAAAACTGAATTAAAGAAGTAATTAAAGGTGTAGAACTACACGGAAATGTGATTATTTACATGCAGCTGACTGCATTCTAGCAACTAACACAGTGAAATAAGTAGTCTTTCACATTTGTTGAAAGTGGTGCTATAAACAAAATACCTCACTGGCTTCTCTTGTGGATCCTACTGGTCCCTTTTTTAAGGCCTAAGAGTCTATAGTAATGACTTATCAAGGCAACAAGGTGGTGCCAGAGACAAAGGAAAATTCCATGAGACAGGCTCTCCCTCAGCCTTGAGGCAAGGGGAGAAAAGACAAGCCAATAACACCTCAACCATATTTATCATCCCTAATATGTACAAATCACAGTATATGGATGTTACTCTTAGTTTTGTTGTATGAATTCAGTATCCAGCTTTTCATTCCATAGTCCTCAAACTATTTTTTGCTTTTATACTATATTTCACCATTTACTAGTTGTATTACCAACACTAATTAGCCATAGGTGCACCAAGAATTTATCAATACACACGAACACCACACAAATGTTGTGGAATAAAAAGAAAAAGCTGCAAAATGGAACACAGTAAAAAGCAAGATCACATCATGTCCGATGCAGACAAAACCATTTACTACACTAAAGTTACCATGAAAAGCTGAAGCTGTTTTGCAAAATTTATACGTAAAACTCTGTAAGAGCTATAATTTTGCAAAACAAGAATACATGCTGGTTATTCCAATAGGAAAAATGACCATCATTGAACTCCAGTGCTGTTGATACTAACTTTGTCACTGTTGTTATCTGCAAGGGAAAAAAAAAAAAGTATTTCGTGTGTTAATACATTCTTTGCTTCCTGAAATACTACAGGAGTTCCCAAATCCAAGCTCTGGTAAAGCCATATACCATGTAAGTCAAGCTTACAATCAAGAGAACCTACAATGGAAAAAAATTAACCCAGCTGAACTGAGCGAAGTCTGTGGACATCTTACCTGTTCTAAGCAGCAGGCACGTTTTCATGCGAGAGTTGGCAAGAAGGTCTTGATAAGAGCATAATTGCACGCAGCCTAGTGAAGGCAAATTGCTTTCTTTCTAAGCCAAGACTAAATAAGGGAAACAAAACTTCCTTCCTCAACCTGAAGTGACAGCAAATAGTTTATATCCTGAATGTGGTTTGAGGGGAGCCAGGAGGAAGGGAGAAAATTCTGAGTACAAGGTACATGTCTGAAAAACTGCATTTGCTCAGCAGTGCTTTCTATGAAAAAGATACAGGTTGCCTTTTTTTTTTTTGAGAAAGTGAATAATGAAAATCACAGAAGCAAAACAGAATTTATTTTGGACTGATCAATTATTCAGAACATCAATGCTTCAGATATTTCATAAAAGTCATTGATTCCATTTTAAGTGGAGTGATAGTTAAGCATCATTGTAGAAATGTAACTTTTCCAGGTAAAACTAAGTAAGCAGTGAAGCAGACGGCCATTTCAGGGAGTTTTGTTCGCTTGTTTTTGTGTTTTGCCTTAGGACTGCAAGAGTCTTACAAAGCTCAAACACACTACTGTAAGAAAGTTGGCAAAATAAAGTAGATTTTTACAGCTCTAAATATTTTCAAGCTTTCCCAAGCTATATCTGCAAGGTGGGCAGCAAGACAGGGATTTCTTCACCTGCCAGCTGTGATACTCTTGAGTCAGTATTATTCATACCTTAACCATAAGGTAGGGCCTTAACAGCATTCGCCCAGTCATCCTATCTTGATTGTGCAGTGCTTCGCTTACTCCACGCCTGCAGCACTTCCTTCCACGAGGCTTAATTTTGTTGCTATTGTTGTTCTTTTTCAGTACTAATAACTGTAAGGGGTATTCAAAAGCAGCAATTTGCTAAAACAGCATTCCCTGAATGGTAAGAGACGTTTGCCAAAGCTTATTCAACAAGTCTACCAACATCGAGCAAGTCCTTGGGATTTCCCAGTTCTACCCCACTTCTTTCCAGCGTGGACTCCAGCCATCAGCTGTTTAAGAAAGGGCTGGAAGTTATCATGACAACAGCGTGACATAACATGTATATGGACTGCATTATATGAATCCACATATGGAAAATACTCGTACTGCAATATAAGGAAATAGGTACCTAAAGGAGTTTTTTTTCCCCTCCATGAGAAGCTCAACTGAAACTGCAACTTACTCTGTATTTTAGTTGACATATATGTTTACCTTTCTGTAGGGTTCTTCATATACTTTATATACAGAGAGAATATCAGAGGAGAGAGGCACTAGCCCCATTCTTTTGAGGATGGGCTACTGTAACCACAGCTTTTAGGTTTTAAGCACAGGTTTTACGTTCATAAGACTGAAGAGAAACCTACAGTTCCCCTCCTGTCCTTGTTATTACTTAATTCAATGTGCCAGGCCCAGAGGTCAAATGGCATGGCACCACACGTGCCCAGACTTCTCCTCTCCCTGTGCACAGCAACTGCTGGGAACCAGTCCCTTGTGGCACTGCCATTCCTGAGCCCTGCCCAGGAATTTCTGGGACAGACCAAGGCAGCCCTGGCCAAAAGCATGCTGCCGAAACAGGGTATCGGTGCAGGTCTGAGTGCCCAGGACTGCTGCTGGGCTCAAGTTTAATTCACTGATCCATTGTGTACTAGTCTGGATTCTACACCAGACATAGCATGAGCCTTTTATGCATCCTTCCAGTCCCTTAAATGTTAGGTCTCCAATATCCACTTTAACATAAACAAGTGTTTGGATACAAAAATTCCTCACATCTTAAATCTGTGTAGCTTTTTTAGGGTGAAGGTAACATTTAAAGTTGAGGTATTTAAAAGTATAACGCTGCAAAAATCTGCTCAACCCCACCAGCTTCCTTGAATGCATCTTAAAAGTTTCTCATGTGTTGTGCAGAGAATTAATCTGTCCCTTGGCCTCTCTTCTGAGACCTTTCTCTCCTAGTCCTGCTGGGGCCATGGTTCGTCTTCCAGAGCATCTCATTCCCAGCCATCACAGCACTCACTGACCCTTCTTGACAGACCACTCTTGCATTTTTAAATGCCTGCTGCTTTCAGTCACCAAACTGGGAGTCAAAATACACAGTGAGAGACAGACATCGAAATTAATACCAGGCTTGTTGTAAGGTCCAGAATGCATCATGACACAACCCATCGTGTAATGCATTTTGTGGTCCTGATTCAATTTATCTGTGACACATCATAAACCAGTATGTCACTCCTGAGCAAAATCACCACAAAGTCTGGTTTGGCCCTTCGAAGCATCCCTTTTAAGATGCAAGTCCTTCCTCAGAGATTCGCTTCTGAGGATTAAACGACTCCCCTCCAAGCTGTGTTTTACTCAGCCCTTAAACAAGCCCAGCTTTTTTCCTGCGAGGAAAGACCCTCACAGCAAAAAACAAAATCCCACCTACCCATTTTGCTGTTTACTCTCCCCCTGGTTTTCTCTGAATCCTCGTCGCGGCCCCTCAGCTATATCCTGGACGCCGTCGCCGGCAGTGGCGCTCGGGGCGGCATTGTGCGTGGCGGGCTGCCGTGGGACATTAACTGCAGGTTGAGCAGCGCTCGGCGCAGGCGACCGCTGCTCAGCGTTAGGCTTGGCATTAACATGCAGTCCAGGCGCAGCGAATGGGGCTGGGGCGGCAGCCACCGGTGACAGAGCCGCCACCTGGGCCGGGGTGAAGGCGGAGGATGGTGATGGGATGGAGGTGACTTTGGAGGAGGTTACGGCTCCAAACGGCCTCGGTGTCTTATTGTAAGCCATGCTGGCTGTAGGAGTGACTTTGGGTGCAGCAGCAGAGGCAATGGGCGCAGGCTTAACTAGTTCTGTAGGTTCTCCCTATGCGAGATGAAAAAACAAAACAGAAACACACAAAACCACGCCAAACGCATGCACGTTCCTCAGCAGGTATTTTTGCTGCTCTCACGGGAGATAACCCACCCAGAGCAAAACCAAGAACCACAGAAGCAAGCTTTACCGAGACTGCAGCCATGAAACATATGGGAAAAAACCCGAGCCATGCATTTCAGGAACGGGAATGATCCAAGCATGCACAATCAATATGAAATCCCATGATGCTAACTCCTCTCATCACATCCAAAACAGACACCTCATAAATCAAATTCAAGACAAACTGAAGAACCACTCTATTGCAAAACACACCAGGTAATTCATGTGGAAAAAATTAGGGTTTTTTTATGAAAATCCACATTCCACCTCTCAAACCCAATTCGAGATACGCACGTACACAAATGGCATGTGCGTGTGTATACACACACACACTGTATATATTTATCACTTAATACAGCATTTGAAAACAGAACCAGAGCCCTGGAGCTCATTTAAGAGATGCCAGTGCTTCAAGCTCAGTGAGCTTTTCCAGTTGCACTGCACTGACAAGCTCCATGGTCTTCATATACTCTTGTCAGATCAAAACACTCTAAAAGATGGGATTTTTAAAAATTTTTTTGCTGGGAGTTATGTTGTCACATGGTCGTTCCCAAACTGTGGCCTTTCAAATCACGGTCAGCAGAACAGTAACATACTGTTCATTATTTATGTCCACTGAAAAGGATTTTCAAGTACAAGCCATTTGTAAGCATTTTCAGGTTTGCGAACAGACTTCTTATCAAAAACAGGGGGTTGAAACTATTGCTTGAGAACATAACATTAGAAGAACTCAAGACCAAATAATTTCCCAGGGAACTGAAGAAAGTGAGGGGAATTTTCTCAGAACCTTTAATATTTAGATAAGCTTCTTTCAAATACAAAAGAAGATTTCAGTGCCCATTTAAAAAAAAACAAAAACACCCACATTAAAAAAAAAAACCAAAAAAACCAAAACACCAGAGAATTCCACCCACCAAACAAAACCCCTACTTTCTTTGGGACAGAGAAAAAAAATCAAGCAATATCTTTCTGAAAAAAACTTCCAGAAGATGGAAGATAATACTTACTCAAATTTTTTTGTGGATGATTATTTGCCAAGTCTCTCAAATTTTTTTAAAATTTTTTTGTGGGGGAAGCATGTAGAAATCACTCAGATTCAAATGCTGCAATGCTTTTAATGTAACACGTGAAAATCAAGCAAGTTACATTGAAAGGAAAGTTTGAATGACAGTGCTTATCAACAACAGGGTTTGACAGATGGGTAACAGTTTGTGTAACATGCTATATTTCTTGCTTGTGAGGATGAACATACCTTTGGTACATGAATAAGATCAGGTTTTGTTAGAGAAGGCACTCTGGAAAAAGAAAAACATACACATAATCATAAACCCTAGAGTTCTTTAAGCATTTCCCCCTTCCAACTCACTGCATCCACCCACAGGTATAGAAAATATTTCAGATTGTTTCCTCTAAAGGAAACAAGTAGCATCCAAGTTAAGCCTATGATGTTGTTAATACAACAAAAAGGCAAAACCAAACTGGATGAATTTATAGAGACAAGTTAATAAACTCTAGCATCTATCATCGAGTATTATTTGATTTATAAATTCATCATAACACATCACCATTTAGGAGACTTCATTTCCATTTTGTTTATTGTTTTCCACCCTTTCATAAGAAATTATGTCACATAACTCAAAAGCTCTAGTCAGACAAATTGCATTTTAACCAGCACATAAGCGTTATTCAAGCTTGAAACAAAAGTTTCCTTCATAACAACAAAAATCCTTCTGAAGGACTCAGTAAGTTAAGTAACACAGACCCTTATTGCAGAGTCTTTGGTCCTCAAAGGTAAGATTAATGTCACTTTAACTCTACAGCAGGTGGCAAAATTTTCTTCCAAACAATGGGTGCATTGAGACTACTGAAGGTTGGTGGGAAGGACAGGGAAGTACCACAAAGGGAAGAATGAAGAAGATAAAAGAATTGACAGATTTTATATCTGAAGTGGACTGGTAACATGTTACAAGTAAAGGCATCTCACTTGATTGGGTCTTGGTGTGGTTTTTGGTGGTGTTTTGGGGGGTTTTGTTTGTTTGTTTGTTTTAAGATTTGCACATACATATGTGCAAAAATTCACACACAAAAATCTAAAAAGAAATTACACCGACATTTTGTGTGCAAATATTGCTGCTGATACACTTGAGTCTTTTCTTGTTGTTTCGGTAGAAAAGTAGCTTCCCGACCCCTTTCAAAACATTTCTGGCCATATTTGGCAGCTGCTTAGAAAAGCTGACATCTTTAATGATCCAGGACCCAGCAATCATATCCTGCCTGAAATCACACAACCTCCATTTCTGACAAATCTTCTAAACAGGATTTTTGAAGAACCAAAACCAGATTCTCATTTTCCAAAATGATAATTTGCTAAAAATGAAAAAATATTTGTTTAAATGGATCAGCTAACAGAGAGTATAATTTAATTAAAACACCTCTGTTGTATAAAGCAGCTGTTCTATTTTGTATCAGAAAAACATGCAGTTTTACATTTGAATTAGACACACTTGGCCCATTGTGGTTTTGGCTGGGGTAGAGTTAATTTTCTTCATAGTATGAGACCATGATCTGGATTTGTGCTGGAAACAATGCTGATAATACAGAGATGTTCTCGTTACTGCTGAGCAGTGCTTACACAGGGACAAGGCCTTTTCCGCCTCTCACACCACACCACCAGGCTGGGGGTGCACAAGCAGTTGGGAGGGGACACAGCCGGGACACCTGACCCCAACTGACCAGAGGAATATTCCATGCCATATGACATCATGCTCAGCACGTAAAGCTGGGGAAAGAAGGAGGAAGGGCGGGATGTTCAGAGTGATAGCATTTGTCTTCCCAACTAGCCATTACACATGATAGAGCCCTGCTTTCCTGGAGGGGGCTGAACACCTGCCTGCCGATGGGAAGTGGTGAATGAATTCCTTGTTGTGCTTTGCTCGCGTGCGCAGCTTTTGCTTTACCTATCTGAACCCTCAAGTTTTCTCACTTTCACTCTTCCGACGCTCTCCTCCATCCCACCAGGGGTGGGGGGGGTTGGAGGTGAGCGAGTGGCTGTGTGGTGCTTAGTTTCTGATTAAGCATGTAACAATTTTCTTTAACTAATTACATTCTAAATGTTTTCTCCTTCCCTCAAAGTCATCTGGCACTCAGTGGTCATCAGATTCCAGCAACAGCAATCCTGCTGTAAGTTCAATAGCTAACTTGGAAAAAAAAAAAAAAGGGAGGAATCAAAAAAAGTCATGAGAAGATCATCTTCTGCACTTCAACTTCACCATTTGTGCATTGCTGCTGACACACATTACATCCACATCAACAGTAATTCTCAGAGCAGAGGGTTTTGTCCACTATGAGGCACAGATCTGTTCTCTTTCCCACAGAATGTGCTGCCTATGAGAATGACGACCTCCGGCCCTCCAAAGCACTGGGGTGCATCATTAATCACTCCTAATTGCAGAGTTGTCAGTTTGCAGCAACAAAAGCAACAAGAAGAAAAAAAAAAAAAGCAAACACATGGAAACTTTTCTTTCCTTTTTGAGACCAGAGTTAGAAGGAAACATGCATCTTGCTCCCTATCTTCACTATATGTTTTTTAAGTAACTTGAAACGTTTTTTGTATTTATTAAGTTGATATAACAGTATGAAGTAGAAAAACATTCATTATTCAAGTTAACTACCACATTTAATGCTTGAGGAAAAAACTTCTCTTTGCTAATAGTGGACCTTTAAGTTTCAGTCTCATAAAAGGAATGTAATTTTTTTTGTTTATATAAAATAATGAAACCTGAGTTGGCAGCAGATGAGATTGCTCTGCATTCGATACAGCACTGAGCAAAAGTGTTTTCGAACCACTATTTCCAAATGATTTGAAGACAAACTCTTCAAAATTAATCTTCAAAACTGTCATACAATAAGAAGAGAGAAAAAAAGGGTGAAATGGCTTGATAAAAGAACACTGGGAACCTTTCGGTTAACACTGGAGTCAGACAGCATAACATTATTTCCCTCAAACATACTTGAAACAAGGACATAAATTTGTGTGTCCCAGACATACTTCAAACAGTTTAACTTGGCCTTGTAGACTTCAGACCATAATCAAACTAAAATCTGGGATTTATCCCATATTGTATAAAGAAAATACTGACCCAGCAAGCTGAGCCACCAAGATCTGAATGTGAAAAATGCATGGTGGTTAGACAAGACAGTACAAAAGGAAGTGCACACTTCAAGCTGAAAAGCAAAACATATCCAACACATACATTCAAGAAAATATTTCCTTTGGGTCTATCTTCCTTGTGATTTTGCTAGATACTATCAAATTGCATACCAAAAAAATAATTAAGCTGCAAAATCTTGAACATTTTCTTAGCTGTTAGCACTTCACTTACCACCTAGCAATTAAACACATTAGGATTTCATGCTGGTTTGGTCACGTTGAATGTATGAATAACTAATGATAAAGGCTTTCAAAATGATATGACACACTTGGCCTTTTTCCCCCCCCCCAAAGGTTTGAAAGAGGATATTTTCTGAAGGATTTAAAACTAGCAATTCAGTATATCATTTATGCAATAATTTCAGTAAGATGCAATCAAAACAAAGACATAAAAGTTTATACTAAACACTTATTATAAACAAAGCACACAAAAGACCTTGGCAAATGGTTACAGTTTTGAGCTTCTTACAAACAACAAAACCAGAAGCAGCAACCATCGCTTACTGACAGCCTAATAACTGAAAATGAAAGTGCATGAAGTTTTTGCACAGGCTTCTCCAACCAAGCTGTTTGTTCTTTCAGAAAAAAAAAAAAAACCCAAACCAAAAAAACCTGTATTTAGCCTGTGTATACAGCTCATTTCAACCAAACATGATCAAATTTGCTTTCTAAACATACCACAAGCCGTTCCTCTCTGATGAATACTTTCATGACATTTAACGCAATTCAAAACATTCCAACTTCCAGCACAGCCTTATTAGGAAAATTAATTAGTCTGCTCTTCGCTGTAAGCAACATGCCCAGAAAAACTATTCGTTCTTCAAATTCTCCTTTTATTCGTTTCCTTTCCAAGTATTTCACCCATAAAAAAAACCAAACACAAGCAATTCAACAGAATCCTTCTATAAGTACCAATAATTAGAAAAACCCATTATTAAAGATAAAGCTACAGTATTTCATGCTTCTGCAATGACCACATTTTGATATATCATCTCCCAACTCCCATCATCAAGGAAAACACTGCAATCCCAATAATTAGCATTATGGAAGTAAATACAATGCAAAGAAGGATTTTTTGGACAAGACTCAGCAGTCCTTTGTGTATTACCATGCAACAGCGGCCCATACCCTCAGCCAATAAATCCTTAAAGCTTCATTAAACCTAAAATCCAAAAGACGCTTCGATTTGTCTCTCCTCTGAACTCCATTTAAAGCCCCACCACCCCCAGTCTTTCTGCCCCTTAGTAAAGGCACTATATTATATTCATAACTTCAATAGCAGATGCTGAACTCAATGGGAAACAAAAAGAATAACAAGAAGGTAACTGTGCTTATGAGCCCCTCTATAAACAAAGGGAGCACACAATACCAGTATTAACATAGGTATTGCGTTAACTTAGGTCTTGCATTTGGGGTTTTCCTATCTCTAACTTAAAAGATTGCTCATAATGTGAGATACAACCAGAAGCAGATGCAAAGCCTTCATTGCTGAAAATGACTCAAGGCTGGAAGATATTTCACAAAATTGTACTTGCTGTTCTGAACTGAATATTTCTAAGAGGTAGAAAAGAGGGAATTTTTTATACCCTTACAATTTTTAAAACTAACTCCCTTTTCCTAGCTGATCAATCAGGCCACAGGTTTTGGCTGCAGATGCTACATCCCTAAAAATCACTGGTCAAATCTTCCTTCCAAAAAACTGATCTTTAGTGGCCACTGTAGTCTGCAGTTCTGTTCTTTTGCTTCAGTTTCTTTCTAGAAAGCAGTCAGTTGACAGGGCAGAAAGCTAAATGCTTTTGCTCATAAATTAACCAACTCCTGAAAAAAGATGACAAACAGAAAACACTTAACATATATAACAAGCCATGACTTTCACTAGGGGTTATCTGAACAAAAACAAATGCAGATTTAATTTAGAGCACAGAAAAATGAACAACCCAAATATATTTCTTTCTTCCTTAGACCCAAGCCCTTTATCATAGACATAATTCATTCCTTACCAACCTTGCTTTGGCTCATAATCATAGAAAAGCCAAAACATTCTTAAGCTTGCTTCCTTCTACAGCTTACACACAATCATAGATAGTTGCCTTACCTACACTAATATACTATGTTTCCCACTTTTTTTTTTTTTTTTAGAAACACACACACTGTCCCAAGTTACACAAGTTGGTAAATCAGCAGTTCAGCAATCTTGCCATCACAAGCACATGCGGCCTCAAGACTGCAAACCTGCACACGTTCCAGCGCATGGGAAAGCAGAGGTAGCAAAATCATCATTATGCACTACTCAATGAGAACTGGCATCTGTTGCAGTCATTGCAAAATGATTATTCTTTTTCTCCTTATGATGAAACACAGTAATGTTTTCAAATCTACGCTCTGGTCATTGTGCTTGCAAACATATCAACAGATGGTTGTCAACAACACTTTATTTCTTAAGCCATTTTTTGTTCTAATTGATTAGGTTAGTTTTCATTTGCTGAACATATCAAATTATGACAAACATGGATATAACTACAATCAAACAATCCAGACTTCAGCGCTGACCGCCTGTTTAAGGGAGAAGATGGGATGCATAATGGTATTTCAGATACCATACATCTCCAGGAGTCTTAGTATGAACATCTCATTCTGCCAACCAATTGTTACATTAAAAATGCATTTCTCCTTTTCACCTAAAAATACATGCTGTAAACTCATGATAAGTCAGACATTAAAATGTAAACAGTGCAAAACACAGTTGCCTCAGCATTAACAAAATACTGAAAAGAGTTTCTGTGGATGCTCCATTTGTATCCAAAATGACAGAGAAGGATCTTTTCAGTCAAATGGGCTATTTTTAAACAGCTTGTATCTTTTGGACTTCATGTCCTTTGATGAAGTATATTTAATGAGAATATTGGTATTTATTTCTTGACAGAACAGTACCTCCAGATAATACTTAACACCTTCATTATATTTAGCCTGGGAATATTAGCTTGCGAGTCACTCTCAACAGAGGTTAAATTGTCATTAAGTTTAACAGGGGAGAATTAATGTAATTTGTATGTAAGCATTTTACATTTGATATACACTAAAGAATACCTTGACAACCTCAAATCGTGCACTCCCCCAGCACATTAGATTAATGATGAAGCACTAAGTCCAGTAAAAGAAAAACTACGTTCTTGCTTTACTGGCTATTTGACAATTGGCCAAATCAAATGTAGGTCGCCCCCCTTAAACTGAAATAAGGTTTGGGATTTCATCATTATGTGTTAAAATAAACAGTGCTGACATTTTAGGAGAGAAACCATCTACCCTCTGCTTTGGTATTCCTACCCACAAAGGATTAGCTGTTTTCAAGACCTCCCAAAGGCAATGGGCTGCTCATAGTCTCATTCCTGTGGTCTGTGGCAACCCTACCGAATGCATTTGTAAAGGGAGTTTAAGTGCAGGCAGATAATATTTTATTCTATTAAGCAAAACCAAAAACCAAACAAAAAGCTAAGAGGAAAAAAACCCTGTGGTATTTATCTCACTTGCCTTCTGACTGCCAGAGACTTAAAAATGTGCTTCCTGCTGCCATGAAGGCACAAGGTTTAAAAACCTGGAGAGCCCACACTCCTGACCATCACTGGACTATGGAGCAGTATAGAGCAGCCTATATACAAGTGGTAGCTCAGTGTGTCTACACGATCGAGTCCAGTAGGCGTGAGTCCCATCTTGTGACTGCTTCGCTACTCACAATCGATATAAAAACTTATGCCTTTTATAGAAGACCTCTTTATACAATACTTTCAGTGATAGCACTCATT